ACCCTTCACCGGGATCAAGCTAATCGTAGTTCTGCTATTGCCCTCTTGGGCAGATCAACACGGGCTGATATGAAGCAAGTCTAAGCAATACATAAATTTGTTACTTGTCACTACTTTGGTTAACATGTCTGCTGGATTCTCATTTGTGTGCACCTTCATGAGAGAAATGTCACATTCTTCTATGACATCCCGCACAAAATGATACCTGACATCGATATGCTTGGTACGAGCATGATAAACTTGATTCTTCTATGACATCCCGCACAAAATGATACCTGACATCGATATGCTTGGTACGAGCATGATAAACTTGATTCTTCGCCAAGTGAATCGGACATCGATATGCTTGGTACGAGCATGATAAACTTGATTCTTCGCCAAGTGAATCGCACTCTGACTGTCACACCACAAGTTCATACTATCCTGCTCAATCCCCAAATTGTCTAACAGACCCCACAACCACAATGCTTCCTTCACTCCCTGTGTCATGGCCATGTACTCAGCCTCTATAGTAGAAAGTACCACTGTAGCCTGTAACATCGATCGCCAACTAACTGGAACCTCATGTATGCTGAATACATAACCAGTAGTAGATCGCCGTCTGTCAAGATCGCCCACATAATCTGAGTCCACAAATCCATCAATCTGACATGTCTCTCCACCAAAACACAGACCCGTATCAGCGGTACCCTTCAAGTACCTCAGGACCCACTTCACAGCTTCCCAATGTGCCTTTCCCAGATTCGCCATGAATCTGCTGACCACACTAACCGACTGTGAAATATCTGGATGTGTACACACTATGGTGTACATCAAATTGCCAACTGCACTAGCATAAAGAACATGTTCCATATGTGCCTTATCTTCCGCTGTAGTGGGAGAATATTTACCTGAGAGCCTAAAGTGTGGAGCCAATGGAGTCACCACCGACTTAGCACTTTGCATTCCGAACCTCACGATCACCCGCTCTACGTAACCCTTCTGACTCAAGAACAATTGCCGATTCGCCTGCTCTCTCCTAATCTCCATACCCAGTATTTTCTTAGCAGCGCCCATGTCCTTCATCTCGAACTCTTTACCAAGTTGATATTTTAGCCTATCTATCTCCACATTGCTCTTAGAAGCAATAAGCATGTCATCCACATACAAAAGGAGATAGATATAATCACCTCCACGAAGCTTCCAAATATAGACACAACAATCATAATCACTTCAGGAAAATCCTTACTTTAGCATGAAGGAGTCAAATCGTTTGTACCACTGCCGAGGAGATTGCTTTAATCCATAGAGTGACTTCCTCAAGCGACACACATGATTCTCCTTATCCTCAGCCTTATAACCCTCAGGCTGATGCATATAGATTTCCTCCTCCAAGTCTCCGTGCAAGAAGGCCGTCTTGACATCGAGTTATTCCAGCTTAAGATCACCATGAGCAACAATACTCATAGCACCCGAATAGAAGTGTGTTTCACCATCGGAGAAAATATCTCATTGTAATCCACACCCTCTCTTTGTGCAAACCCTTTAGCCACTAACCTCGTCTTGTACCTTGTACCACCGAGCTCTGAAGGATCTTCCTTTCTTTTATACAGCCACTTACAACCTATAGCTTTCTTTCCTCCACCGAGCTCTGAAGGATCTTCCTTTCTTTTATACAGCCACTTACAACCTATAGCTTTCTTTCCTACGAGTAATGGGACCACCTCCCATGTTTGGTTCTTCCGGAGAGATTCCATCTCCTCCTCCATCACAGCCAACCAACTCTCGCTATCTCTATCCCGAATAGCTTCCTTGAAGGAGACCGGCTCATCTTCCTCCACCGAGAGTGTGTACTCAACCAAATTAACCTGCCCATAATGCTTCAGGGGTTGATCAGCCCCAAGCTTCTGTACCTGCTTCTATGCTCTCCTTGGCCTAGTGGAAGCCAAGCTATCCTCGGGCTACTGTTGTTAAAGTGCCTGTGTATTCTCCTGTTGAACCTCCTACTACTCAAGCTCATCATCTACCTGATTTCCCACTTGAACACGACTAGAACCTGATTGGTCTTTAGGTTCTATCTCAATAACCTGGGACTTAAAATTCCCAACAGTCTCAACACCACCATCTTTAGGCACCCTAGCAATCATGGACTTCTCATCAAAGATAACGTCTCTGCTGATCACGACTTTGAATTTTTTGTACACCAAAGGCGATAGCCTTTTACACCCTTTGCATACCCCAAGAAAATTACCTTCTTGGCCCTCACGTCAAGCTTACCCTCGTTGACGTGACAGTATGCGGTACACCCGAAGATTCGGAGCCTCTCATAATCTGCATGCTCCCCTGACCATACCCGATAGGGTGTATCACCATCTAACGTCGAATGTGGGGAACGCTTCACTATGTAACAAGCTGTAGCAACCGCTTCTGCCCACCATTCCTTGCCCAAACCAGCATATGATTACATAATCACTGCTTTCTCCCACAGTGTTCGGTTTAGTCTTTCTGTGACCCCATTATACTGTGGTGTAGATCTAATTGTCCAGTGTCTGGCAACCCCCTCCTGATCACAGAGCTCCTTGAAGGCACCATCTGTATACTCTGTACCGTTGTCAGATCTCAATGCTTTCAATTTATTTCCTGTTCTGTTCTCAACCATCGCCTTCCACTTCTTGAATGTCTCAAATACCTCACTCTTGTGCTTCAGAAAATAAATCCAAGCATATCTTGAATGATCATCTATGAATGAGACAAAATACCTGGAACCACCATTGGAAGTTATCAAAGCCGAACCCTAAATATCTGTGTGCACATAGTCTAGTATCCCTCTGCTCTTGTGTTTGCTTGTCAGAAACCGGACCTTGTGTGCCTTTCCATACACACAGTCCTCGCAAAAATCCATGCAAGACTTCTTTAGATTCTTCAACAAACCATCCTTACCGAGCAGATCTAGACCCTTCTCTGACATGTGTCCAAGCCACCTATGCCATAACCGTGTGTGCTCACATGGGTCTCCACCACTTACATCAGTTCCAATAGCTGCATATCCCGTCACCGTCGTACCCAAGAGAGTATATAGGTTACCATGACGAATGCCCTTCATCATTACTAAGGAACCCCGAACAATTTTCTTCACTCCATTCTCTGTTATAATCTTACAACCCCCGGAGTCCAAAGCACCAACTGAGATAAGATTCTTCCGCAAGTCGGGAATGTACCTTACATCCGTCAAGGTTCGAACCACTCCATCATGCATCTTGATCTTGATATCACCTAGCCCCACCGTTTTACAAGCATGGTTATTCCCCATTAATATAGTTCCGCCATCAATGCTCCTGTAGGTAGTAAACCACTTCCTATTTGGACACATACGGTAAGAGCAACCAGAATCAAGTATCCACTTCCCGGAGGTATCCTCACCACCCGTGACGACATAACATTCCTTATCGCTCCCTTCCCTTAAAGCGTAGCTCGCCTCTTCCTTGCCTTCTCGTCTTTCAATCTTGTTGTTGTTCTTCTTCCCACCTACTCTCTTGTTAGGACAATTGACTTTGAAATGTCCTAGTTCACCGCATCTGAAACACGGTCTCTCTGCAAGAGGTCTTGATTTTGATCTAGACTTTCCTCCTTTGCATTTTCCTTGCTCATTGCCCCTTCCTCTGGCAAAGAACCCCTGCGCTTGTTCTTTGTTACCACCAGTGGCCATATCACTAGTTACAAGTTTTCGAAGATCATCCGCTAGAAGCGTCGTTCTAGTTTCATCCATCGATAAACTATCACCCACAAGCATCAGTGTTTGAACCAGATTCTCATAAGACTTCAGCAGAGATAGGAGTAGTAGAAGTGTCTGATCCTCGTCTTTCACTGTCACCTCAATGTCTTTTAAATCCGATAAGATCGTATCGAACTTGTTGATGTATTCCCGGATTGATGAGCCCTCCTCCATCTTGTAAGTATACAATTTGGATTTTTGATGTATTCCCGGATTGATGAGCCCTCCTCCATCTTGTAAGTATACAATTTGGATTTTAAATAGATCCGGTTCGTTAGACTCGATGAGCCCTCCTCCATCTTGTAAGTATACAATTTGGATTTTAAATAGATCCGGTTCGTTAGACTCTTCTTCATTAGGTGCTTTCCAACTTCAACCACACGCCCGTAGTCGTTACCTCTCCATCTACCAAGAAAGCTACATTCCTTTCAAGATAAAGGATAATCGACGTTCGTGCTTCCAGATCTAGCTCCTCTCAATCCTCATCAGACATATCCTTGTGCTTCTTCTCTTTTCCCGCCAAAGCCTTATGCAATTTCTGCAAAATCAGCAAATTTTTTATCTGCATCCTCCAATAGGAAAAATCATTCTTCCCATTGAATTTCTCGATCTCATACTTTCTAACTTTAACTGTTTTACTTGTAGACGTCATTCTCCGCTTGTTTAGTAAAACTAATTTTCTCAGTAATTTTAACAATAATCAAGCACCACCTCAAATCGGAAAATTTTACCACCTCCAATCTGAACAAGGGCTCTGATACCAATTGTTGGGACGCGTGACGTCCACACCGTCGCGGAAGCAAATTAATCTCGAGAGAAAACAACTCTAGCTCGAGTTTAATCCAAACTCAAGCTAACCAATACAAGCAATAACGAATACACAGATAAAACAGTAAGTAAAGTAGAGTAGACAACAGATATACGTGGTTCGGCAAACTTGCCTACGTCCACGGGAGCCACACGAATAATTTCTTATTTAACCACAAGAAATTACAAAGCTTATAAAAGTGAGAATCTCAAACTTGAGCTCTCACAACACAAACTTCCTTCACTGTAGTAAATGCTACAGGAATAGTGCAATTTTTCTAGACCGAAAAATTGATTCTCAAATTAATCTGAGAATTACCGCTGGAGATAAAGTCGCCGCCACCACAGAAGAAATCTTCTTCTGTTAAATCGCGAGTTGAACTCACTCCATCTTGTGAACAGGGTTTCCCTTTTATAGGGAAACCCTAGGGCTTGTGCAATCCAGCTGGCCATAGCTGGCATCCACCACATGCGAAGGGAGCGCTCCATCAGGCGAGCTCCCACGAGTGACAGACGAGCACCGCGGGCAACACTACAGGCGAAATCGAACCCATCAGGCGAGTTCACCACTCGCCTTCCACGCCCGCAGGCGAGTACGCTCCTGGCGAGATCTCCTCGCCTCACCTTCCACGCCCGCAGGCGAGTTCCATCATGCCCTCGCCTCTCCCCGCCGACGCCGTTCTCTGCCTCCGTCTCCGACGATCGCCGTCGTCGCCGTTGAGGTCAGTTCTCTTCACATATAATGAGGTTTATTTGTAAAGTTTCTCCAGTGGTCTTCTAATCACTCCTTGCAAAGTCCGAAAGCATAATTGATATCTAGAAGCTTGTTTTCTTGCGGTTATTTCTATAGTAGAAATTTATAACTAGAAGTTAGCCATTATTGGACATAATTATCATCGCTGTCTTAATAAGTAATGCTTTTATTAATAGAACAAACAATTTATAATAGTTATCTAAGAATATATTGTCGGATAATAATAACCATGTGTAACATCAATGCCGATTAAATCAACAATTGATGAGAATTAGCAAACAATAAATTTCTAACATAAAAAGTATAATGTACAAGCTATAGGAAACTAATAATAGACATTAAAAAATAATAAATAATAATATTAAAATAATTTATAGTAAAGGTAAACGTTACGGCATAAATAGAATTGTCGTTAGTCAATGATTTAAAAAGTCTCTGCCTAGCCTGTCTAGGCGTCCGTTTAGAACCAGGCGGTACCTAGGATAGCTGCCTAGATTTTGGGAGCACCTAGGGGAGCGTGAACTACTTATAGACCTTGATTGCATTCGTTGCAGCCTTCATGTCCTACAAACTCCCGCGCCTCCAAACTATGAACACCTTCTCTACCTCCTCCGACCTTCAACAAAACCTCCACCACCCCTTAAATGAAGAAAAGAAATCCGCCTAGGCAGTCCGACGCCCACGCTTTTCATAACATTAACATTTGTTACCAATTGTTGTAATTTAACAATAAAAAAAGGAAAATCGCCTAGATCCCGCCTAGACTTTAGACATTGGGTCCAACGCCTAGGCCGACTAGCGCTTTCTGTACCGCTGTCATTACAAGTTAAAGTACAATAACTGCATGTTTATTCCAAAGTAGTAGCGGCATGAAACATTAGATAATTCGGTTCTGTGAAAGAAAATCCAGTGTAGGGTTGAAAATACACGGGAGATTTTAGGACCATTTGTTTGTAATTAGTCTTTTCAGATATTAGCATAAAGTAGGATACTACTTTGTAACGTTGCTGTCTAATATTAAACATTCCTTCATATCTATCTGTCTATCAATCTGTCTTTGTCCTATTATATACATACATATATGCGTATATACATATTAATTTTGTTGAGGAACAAATGCGTGCTATTAATGAGTCAAAATGATGTACTAAACTGATGCAGTTCATTTGTAAAGTGGTTTAAGCCCCAGGATCCTAGGTGGCTTCTTTTGCACCATTAGCTCTCACACATAGGCACAAGTTTGAATACTACCAATGATTTTGATCAATTTTATGCAATCTACTGATTTTGAGATTAAACATGCAATCCCTACATCCTTATTTTGTTTGATTAATATTACTTTTTCTAGGTATCTAAACAGATTTGATTAAGTTTCCTCCTGTTATTTTTGCAGGTATACAAGGGAAAATGAGGGATTACCAACTAGCTGGGCTGAATTGGCTAATTCGGTTATATGAAAATGGAATAATGGGATTTTAGCTGATGAAATGGTATAGTTCTGTAGTTCTTAATTTTTACTTCCCTTCATACCGCCATGAGAATTTGTTGGATTTTGATTGTCTTTATAAAAATAATCTTCCATGTTGAATTTTGTTAAAATAAAAGGATTTCCACCCAGTTTTATTTTATTGTTGCCTTAGTTTTTAGAATACTGTATGGTTTTCTTTTGCTAGTTATAATACTGTACGATCGGCCTTTAACAGTACTTTTATACACCTTTTTGGTTTTGTTCAGTAGTTAATTGCTTTTAATGTAATGTTCCTTCGATAAGTAACTTTTGACAATGTTAATAGATTTGATTTCAACTGCCTAAGCATATGAAAAACACATATGTGCCTTTCTATTTATTACTTATATGCTCGACATGTGTTTGATATTAGCATACATCCTTAAAATTCATTAAACGCATCTTGCTTTTGTTTCTTTTGATGTTTCTACCCGGGATGCTCATTTTGTTATGTGCCTTCGTCAAAATATTTTTTTCTTCAGGGTCTTGGGAAAACGTTGCAAACCATCTCTCTGTTGGGCTATTTACATGAATTCAGAGGAATTACAGGGCCTCACATGGTGGTGGCACCAAAATCCACTCTTGGCAACTGGATGAAGGAAATTCGACGATTCTGTCCCGTGCTGCGTACTGTAAAGCTTTTGGGAAATCAAGATGAAAGGGTCAGGACTATATTTATACATTTTACTTCTTTTTTATATATGATGTTCTAACTATTTAGAAGGACATGCAAATAAATTTACAAATCTTTGAACACCTGCAGAAACATATACGCGAAGACTTACTGGTTGCTGGGAAGTTTGATGTATGTGTTACAAGTTTTGAAATGGCCATCAAAGAGAAAACTGCTTTGAGACGCTTCAGTTGGCGCTATGTTATTATTGATGAGGCACATCGGATAAAGAATGAGAATTCTCTTCTGTCGAAGACAATGAGACTTTATCATGCCAATTATCGCCTTCTTATTACGGGCACCCCACTTCAGGTTTGTTTTATTTATCCATGATCTTCCATACTCTAATTTTGCTTCTCCACACTGCTCACAAATGTCATAATGTTTGTGAGCAGCATACATATCAGATCATATGTATATGTCCGTAATGGTGTGTTTAGTTTTGCTTTTGCTTATAGATACACACTAGTAAGGAGCTTGTCTTGAATAACACTCATAAAAGAACCCTATAGCTAGATGTTTGGTATTTTGAAATTTAACTGTTCTTGAAGATACCATAATATTTGAATTAGATTTGTTAGAGAAAAGTTGGATAGGAATGGATGTACAGGTGAGAAAATTTGAGTTAAAAACAAGTAGAGAGAAAACGAGAGAAACTTGAAATAGCTGTAATGAATATATGGTGAGAGGGATCATTTGGAGTAAAAATAGGCCATTGCATGAGTGGGCTTTCTTTTTTCTGGTTTTACAGTTGAGATAAAAGAGAAAATTTTGCCTCTGAAGTCTGAACTGTCACCTACGTGTTTTTATAAAAGCTCCTTGTTATACCATAAAACGAGTTAGTAAACCATAACAGCCAGTTTTAGTGGCAAACAGTTATTTGCTTTTAAAGCGGGGAAGAACTTACCAGAACTTATTATATATGCTTAAGGGTTAATTGCAAACAGACCCACTGAGTATCACCCAAGTGCAAACAGACCCCTTGTAGTTCTATTTGTTGGGAATAGACCCCTTGTAGTTCTATTTGTGCATAAACCTGCTCAGTACACCTACTGCAAAAGTAATATCAGGTCTGGTAACTATCAAATATATTAGCTTCCCAATTAGTCTCCTATATTATCCAACATCATCTAGTAGAGAGGTATCATCACGCCACAAATCAACATTTGCCTCCATTGGAGTGCTTGCAGGTTTGCATTCCAAGAGACTTGCTTCTTCTAGTAAATCTAGCACATACTTCCTTTGGGACAACAACAGGCCATGCTTTTGATATGCAACTTCAATCCCAAGAAAATACTTTGGCTTTTCCATGTCCTTAGTGACAAAATAACAGTTTAGATACTCCTTATTCTCAGCTAAGGCAACCGAATCACTCCCAGTCAGCAGAATATCATCAACATATACGGCTAAAATAACCAAACCAGTTATTGTGTGTCGAAAAAAGACAGAATAATCAGACTGACATCGTTGGAAACCAACATTAGAAATAACCTTGCGGAACTTATCAAACCAAGCTCGAGGACTCTGTTTTAACCCATAGATGGCCTTTCTCAGCCTGTAGATAATATTCTCCCCCTGAGTAACATACCCAAGAGTTTGCTCCATATAAACCTCCTCGTCCAAATCACCATAAAGGAAAGCATTCTTCACATCTAGTTAGTGCATCGCCCAATCCATATTAACAGCTGGAGAGAAAAGAATTCCGATGGAGTTGAGATAAGCAACGGGAGAAAATGTTTCAAAATAGTCGATGCCATATGTCTGAGTATAACCTTTAGCAACCAGGCGAGCTTTGTAACGGTCAACAGACCCATCAGAGCGATATTTTAGGGTATACACCCATCTGCAACCAACCACAGTCACTCTAGTAGGAAGAGAAACCAAGTCCTAAGTTCCTCTAGAAAGTAGTGCATCCATTTTCTCATCCATAGCCTGCTTCCAAGCTAGTACTAACATAGCTTCCTCATGTTACCTGGGTATAGATACAGTGGAAAAGGACAAAGCAAACTGACGAAAAGATGGGCTGAGATGGTCATAAGAGACAAAAAGAGAGATAGGATATTTCGAGCAAGACCATTAACCTTTTCGAAGAGCAATAGGGATATCCAAGTCAGAAGTGTTGAATATCATATCTCCCTGATAGTATTTTGATGATAACAATTTATACAGTGTGTGCACTAACTTTTATATGCAGATTTTAATATCAGTTTGATGATAACAATTTATACAGTGTGTGCACTAACTTTTATATGCAGATTTTAATATCAGAATATGAACAAGTGCAAGATGTTTTCAAGGCATTATGAAGTGAAGAAAATGAAGAACAGATGAGATAATATATTTTACATTTTCTTTACTTAGAATTTTTGTACAAGCCTTGATCTCACACACGCACACAAACACAAAATTAGAACACACTAACACAGGCTTAGTGTGTTGGTTAACTATAGAAATCCCCTATGTTAACCATTAGAAATATAGTTAAAACTTAAGTATAAAAATATTTTATATCATAATTTTTTCTCTTAATAGTCGACTAATTAGAATAGTAGTCGACTACTCATGTATAAAACTCAAATACATGTTTCTGTCAATTTACAGTATAGACATAAGTTTCTGTCTTTTTACAGTATAGTCGACTAATCTACACTATAGTCGACTACTGAACGTAAATTTCATTTTATAAGTTTCTGTCAAAATACAGTATAGTCGACTAATGAGCTTTGTAGTCGACTACTGAGAAAATTTCTGAAAAACACAGAGTCTGTTTGAACTCAGTGTAGTCGACTAATGTTCATTGTAGTCGACTACAGATACAGTTTTTTCAGTATTCAAAGTTTGAATTTATGACTATTTATAGCCATTTTTAAACGTTTTTAAAGTTCAAAAAATTGTCTTTTCAAGGGCTATAAATAGGTTATTTGTTCAGAAAAATTACAGGGATATACATACCCATAAGCTTTGATCTTTGTGCAATTTTTCAAGCAAAAACCTATTGTTTAGGCAATTTACAGAGATTAAAAGAATCCTAAGCCACTGCTGCACTTCACTACACATTCAAGGCTTATAGGATCAATTGTGTTCTTGCTTCAAAAGAATTTTTCTCGGGTTTGAGAATGTTGATCTCTTGGTTTAGAGATTGGTGTTCAAATTGGCAAGGTGTTTGTCAATTGGTGTTGCAATTTGCAGGGACTTGCAAATTAGTCAGGTTTGCGTTTGATTTTGTAAGTTTATTCAAAATCAAAGTGGAAACTCTCAAGCGGGATTTGCTTGGGGACTGGATGTACACCGGATTGGTGGAACCAGTATAAATCCTTGTGTTTGTGATTGTGAATTTCTGAGATTGCCATTTTTCTTTACAATTTATAATATACTTTGCATAAATTTTAAAAGAATACTATTCACCCCCCCTCTAGTGTTCAAGTGTATCTATTTCAGATCCTACATTTGGTATCAGAGCAAGGTGAAAGATGGCATCGACAAATTCTTCACAATTCAAAGAAGGTCACTTAACAAATCGTCCACCAATGTTCGATGGATTGAACTACAACTATTGGAAGTGCAGAATGAAGATTTATCTTCAATCAATTGGCTACGAACTTTGGAACGTCGTGGAAACAAAATATGAGAAGCCAACAACTCCTTTTGAAGAATGGACTACTTTTCAAAGAAATAATGCAAATTTGGATTCAAAAGCAATGAATGCATTATTTTGTGCACTTGACAAGAATGAGTTCAATAGGGTGTCAACGGCCACATCTGCATACGATATTTGGCATACACTTGAGGTAACTCATGAAGGTACAAATAAAGTTAAAGAATCTAAAATTTCTGTTCTTATGCACATATTTGAATTGTTCAAGATGAAGGAAAATAAGACTATTGGAGAAATGTTCACAAGATTCACCGACATCACAAATTCTCTCATTGGTCTTGGAAAAACATATACACAAGTGGAGATGATAAGAAAGATACTTCGATCACTTACTCCACAATGGGAAAAAAAAGTTACCACTATTGAAGAAGCCAATGATTTGTCAACTCTTACGGTTGAAAATCTTATTGGTAATCTTATGGCATATGAAGTTAAAATTGAAGATAGAAAGAATGATGAAGAATCAAAGAACAAGAAAGTTCTTGCGTTCAATACTACTTCCGATAAAGAAGATTCAGATGATGATGATGAAGAAATGGCATGTTTGCACGAAAATTTTGAAAATTTATAAAACGAGGTAATTTTAAATCTAAGAGTTTAATTTCAAATAACCCTCTTTGTTTTAAGTGTAATAAACCAGGGCATATGAAGAAAGATTGTCCAATGTTGAAGAATAAGTAAAAATCAAGTTATTTCAACAACTTCAACAACATTCAAAATAACAAGAAAAGAAAAGCAATGACAGTCACTTGGGATGATAGTGATGAATCATCTTCAGATGAAGAAATTGAAGAAAAGGAAAGTGCTCACATGTGTTTTATGGCACAAGATGAAGTAAGTGACAATAAAGAATGAAGAGCTTTTAGATGCTTTCAATGAATTATGTAAATCTTTTGTGAGATTAAAGACATCACATAATTTTCTTAAAGGTGAAAATAAAAGATTACTTGAAGAAATTTCTGATTTAAATTCCTCTACTTTTTCTAATTCTCAAATAATTGAATTGAAAGAAGAAATTTTTTCTTTACTTAAAGAAAATGAATGTTTATCTAATGAGAATAATTATTTAAAATCAGAATGTAATAATTTAAATATTCATATTAATAGTTTAGATAAAGATATTTCTTCTTTTAAATCAAGATATGAAGATATATGTTTAAATGTAAGCAAATTTAATAAAGGTAAAGAAAATCTCAATAGTATTCTTTCTTTTCAAAAAGAATCACAAAAGACAAAAGGATTAGGTTTTAAAATTAATAAAAATAAATCAAAGAAAACAATTTTTATAAAACCTTCTTGTGATATGTATGAATATAGAAATAAAAATTTGTGTAAAAAGAAATCAAAATTCTTTTCAATTTGGGTTCCAAAAGAATTATCTTCTTTACATAAGAATTTTTATATTTCTGATTTTATTAAAAATATATGTTTATCATCCAACTATTTAGGCAAATCAAACTCATCATGGGTTTGATTTCCTAAAGGCTAATTTAAAGGACCCAACATAGTATGGGTACCAAAATGTAAATGTTTATTTTTTCAGGTACCCAAGAAAGATAGGTGGATTTTGGATAGTGGTTGCTTCAAACATATGACTGAAAACATACAATTGTTGTCATCTTTTCAAAACAAGGATGGTGGTACCGTTACTTTTGGA